TATTTATAAAATTAATTTAAAAAAAAAATTTTTTAAAATTTTAATTTTTCATAAAAGTAAATCAGAAGGGAATTTATGGTAAATAAGCAGGCAAATTTGCCTGTGATTCTCTACAGTTTAAGGGATAGCAAAGTTCCTATTATAGAGATTCTGCACTGTAATATATTTTATAATTTTTTTTAAAGTTTAAAATATTTAATAAAATTTAACTAATTTTATAAAAAATCAATAATTTTATTATATAAATAAATCATGTTTAGTATAATGTTATACTTGTTATAAATTCTAATATAATTTGTAAAGCAAATATATTAAATTAATAATAAATCTTAAAATACATATTTTTTAACAGTTAGATTTATCAGATAATTAGATAAAACTATTCTTATTAAAACAAATAAAACCTCCTTCCGATTCTTTTTTAATATTGCAATTTGATAATTAATCCTCCTAATAATTTACCAAAAAAGTTAATTTGAACAATAAGCCTACCTGCACCTTACTTTTTCAGCAATTATCGTCTGATAATTAAATTATAATTAATTAATTAATTTTTATTAAAAAATTTACATATAGACAATCTTAGAATAAAAATCAAAGTAATCTTTATCAATCAGGATTTTTTTCTAACTTAACTTCCTAATAACTAATCACAAACTATTAACATTATAAATATTTCTTTCTAAAAAAAGTTTGGGTCCAAAAATAAAAATTTTATAAACACAAGATAAGTGAATAAAAAAATGAACTATAATTTTTAATATATATATATATATGCGTATATATATATACATACTTTGTCCTTTTCAATCTATATAATCAAACAATAATAGATTAAACAGTTATTTTGTTTTTGCATCTATATCTATTCTTTCCTCAAAGCCTCTTCAGACTACGCTTCTTATCAGCTTGTTTTTTATCTAATTTCTTATCACCAGCTCTTTTCTTTGGTGTCACAGTAGGATTATTTGACGATAATTGATTATCATTCGAATTCATAGAAGAATTCGAGTTCTTTTTAAGGTGATTATGATTATTAGCGCCACCACCATTCATCGCATTAAAAGATTTCGATTCGTTCATTGAATTTGATACAGTAAGCGGAGTAATTAAAGCTGGAGTAGCGGAAGAATTGGTTGTAGAATTATTAGTCGTCATTGTAGTAGTTGCTGTATTTGTTGATGTAGTAGTAATTTGCGGAGAAGCAGATTTCGAAGAAACGAATTTTTTTGGAGATGATGTTGAAGTTGTATTATTAGAAGGAGTAGTCGTAGTCGTAGTCGTAGTCATAGTAGTCGTAGTCGAAGTCGGCGTTGTTGATGAGCTATTATTAATATTAATTGAAGAAAAGTCCACTGCCTTATTTTGGGCATGTACTTTTGTCATCATGCGAGCATATTTTGCGTAATCTTCATAATTTTCTAAAAGAAGCTTGCCCGCTTCTTCATTAAGTGCTGATTCTGGGTTAGGAACGATCAAAAGACATTTGACAGTCTATCATCATCATCATCATCATTTTTGAAGTAAACATTTATTAAGATGGTACATCAATTTAAAGAAGCAAAGGCATATAGGATTATAACTAACAATGTTTACCAGCAAGATACGTTCAATTCCTGAATCTTTGTTCCAATCTTTTTTTAGGGTATTAACACAAACCTCTCCACATTTTGATACATTAGGATGAAATATTTTTGTAATGAAATAACCTAATAATTTACGAAAATTAAATGAATGCGTGTTAAACAACGAAAAAATTAAATAATAAAAATAAAACCTACATTTTGGTGGTGCTGCAGGGAAATCCGCGCCCAATGCCAACTTTACTTTAAAATGTCCCCCTTCATACGGTGTACTCTCTAAAATTATCATTGTTATTAAGAAAAATTAAGAATACTACCCAGATGAAAAAAACATGTGTAAATCCTCAACCACAGTCTAAATCCTATAAAGTTATTTAAATCCCAATGTTTGTCCGCTCTATTTTTTATTTTATTAAAACCGAGTTTTTGAAGTAAAATAATTACCAGGCCCCAAGATCCAAGCTTGAACGTCACAGACGTCTAATTCGCTCACTATGACTCGAATTCCTTCTGGAGGTTGTGCTATAAGTGCATTCAACTCCTTTGAGATCCTCTTTATTACAGAAGGCGAGATGTTTTCAATGGCTGACTAATTTATTAATAAATAATAATCCACGACGTTCAATATTTGGTTCCCAAATAACAAAGTCAAAGTTACCGCGGCAAAGTTGACAAAACAATATAAATCGCGTCAGTAAAATATCAATTTTGTTATCATGAAAAGTTAGGAAAGCAAAAAACTTTACCATGTTATTGTGCAAAATATTTTTTTTTTTTTTGATTTTTTTTGATTTTTTTTTTTTTTGATTTAAAAAATTTTATTTATTACTTTTATTTACTATATAACAGATAATAATTGTTTTTTTTTTTCACGAGACCAGTCTAGCTCAAAATAAGTTAAACACGTACAGTTTACACAGTTTTCAAAAGAGGATTACAAACGCTTTTTTTTACAGGTTTTATTTATTTATTTTTGAACTTTAACTTTATTTTTGTCTTATGAATACAAGTTGTAAATTATCGTTCGGCTGACATTATGAAACCGATGAAACCCGAATATATTTGATAATCATAATAAAAAAAAAAAAATCAAAAATCGGAAAAACTTATTATTCGAACCTCTTTTTTTCTTACACCCTTTAAATAGGTTTTATGAACGCGATTTAACAATAAAAAGGTCATTTATTCACGATTTAGCATACTTTGAGTCAGTCAACATTTCCATTTAAAATTGGAATTAGAAAAATTTTCAAGTTAAGCAAGAGATTTACATTATTTTTTCATAAAGTTTTATTTATTGGCCTGCCAAAAATAAATATTTATATTACTTAGCAAAGTCAATTAAATTACGATATAGGTCGAGCGAACTATTATGATATTTCACAACTTTTTTCCCAAATTAACATGTACAGATTTAACTTGAGTATATTGTTCAAGAGCGAATTTTCCTAACGAGAATTCCAAGAGAAAAGGTTAGATATGCCTGAACTTTACGGAGTAAAATATAATTATTTATTTACCTCCTTCACGGCCTATTCCCGATTCTTTATATCCTCCGAACGAACTGTTTAAGTAAAATACACGTGATTAGCGTGACAGACGCGCTTTTAGACAAATTTTTTTACACGAATCAATAAAAGAAATGGCTTACGTGTAAGGGTTATATATATTGTAACAATTCACTATGTGATGGAAATTTAGATTATTTTTTTACAACAAAAGAAAGATTGAATTACATCTTTTAAACAAAAAGGAGTTTGACATACCCCAAACGGTTCCAGTATGTAACTCATTAGATATCTGCATAGCACGTGTAAGATCTTGAGTAAAGACTGCAGCAGCTAAACCATATCTAGATGAATTGGCTTTCTCAACAACTTCTTCAACGGTAGAAAATTTCGCTATTGCTGCCACAGGACCAAAAATTTCATCTTGCATGATAGTCATCTTCTCATTCTATCAATCGAAATTGAAAATTTCAATACAAGAGAAACATGGCGAAAGACGGCGAAAGTAAAAAAATTTATTTACCACTTCTGTGAAGATGGTTGGTTCGATAAAGTATCCTTCTTTACCGTATCTTTCACCGCCCATCAACAACGTTGCACCTTCTTTTTTTCCAATTTCAACATAAGACAT